CATACGGGTATGATTTCAGTTACATGACATTCTGGGAAAGGCACACTATGGAGACAATAAAAAGATCAGGGGTTGCTGGAGGTCTGGGGTGGAGGGAAGGATGACTAGATCAAAGGGGATTTTTAGGGCAGCGAAACTACTCTGTGTGATACTACAATGGTAGATACATATCATTATGTATTTGTCAAACCCATACAGAGAATGTAAAACACAGAATGAACTTTAATGTAAATTAGGGACTTTGGGTGATGATGTTTTGGTGTAGGTTCATCAATTACAACGAATATACCACTCTGGTGTATATGTTGATAGTGGGGGAAGGCCCTGTGCAGTGGTGCAAGGAGTGTGTGAAAATTTGCCATACTTTACGTTCAATTTTTAAAAACATTTTTTTCAAGTAGTAAAATATACACAGCCTAAAATGTCATTTAAACTTAAGTGTGCGGTTCAGTGGCATTAAGTGCAATCACACCACTGTGCAACCATCAATCACTATCAGCCACCCCCAGAACTTCGTCATCCCTACTACAACTCCTTGCCATCACAATTTCGCTGTGAAACTAAAACTGTTCTAAAACAAACAAACAAACAAACGAACAAAAAACACACACCACAAAGTCATATTAATTAAAAAATAAGGGGGGTGGCATGAACCTACACGGACAAAAAGAAAGAAAGACGACAATAGCAATAACATTTTGGAAGCTGGAAAGCAAATGGATGGGAAATGACTAAAAAGCTGAAGAAAGAAAATCTTATACTAACAAGAAACATACTTAGGCCCATTCATATTTGATAAAATTTCTACTAAAACCACAGAAAGATACAGTTTTTCACTTCTCAGCTCAGACAAAATGAAAAGATCTGCAATTTCCAATGAAACTCTCTGCTTAGCCCCCATATTCTTTTGGCTTTCCTCATACTTCTCTGGTACTTCTGTTGTTTTGAGGTTCTAACCAGAATTAATTGTCAAAGTTCTTCAAGGCTCAGGCTACAAGTATTTCCTCTTATGCTATACTATTCCCTAAGTGACTTAATCCACACTGATGGCTTCAATTAAGATACCCAAATTGATTCTGGATTTCTCTTCTGCACTTTAGACCTACATGATCTAATGCTAACTTGGCATTTTTCTCTTGATGTCTCAATACCACTCAAATTCAATGTGCCCCAAACTAAACCCATGATATATCCAGTACTCCTCCACAGCAGATTCCCTTTCAGCAGACCCCACAACAGCAGTTTGTCCCCCTTTCTGTGTATTTGTTAAAGTTAGAAATTTAAAGTCAATTTTGATACCACCCTTTTGCTCACATCCTGTTTTCATTCATCAACATTTGTTTGTCTCTATTATTTTGGGTCATCCATTTGTCTCCACCCCCTTCACTACCTTCTAATCCAAAGTATCATAATCTCCTTTCTGATTTACTACAAATTTCTTTCCAGTTGATCATTCCTTATCATTTATGGCATCTTCTAACTCATTTTACCCCTGCAGCCAGAATATTTTCAAAATGTAAATGAACCTGGACTTTAAATAAGAACTTAAAAAAAAAGAAAAAGAAAACTGGTACAGCCACTGCAGAAAACAGTAGGGAGGTTCCTCAAAAAGTTAAAAAAACAGAACTACCCTGGGGTGCCTGGGTGGCTCAGTCTGTTAGGCATCTGCCTTTGGCTCAGGTCGTGATCTCAGGGTCCTGGGATCGAGCCCCACATCGGGCTCCCTGCTCAGCAGTCTGCTTCTCCCTCTCTCTCTGCCCTACTTGTTCTCTCCCTCCCTACCCCACACTCACACACACACACACACTCACACACACACACATACACATATCTCTACCCTATGACCCAGCAACTGCACCACTGGGTATTTAATCCAAAGAACACAAAAATACTAATTCAGAGAGATACTACATGTACTCCAATGTTTAACAGCATTATCTACAATAGCCAAATTATGGAAACAACCCAAATGTCCATCAACAGATGAACGGATAAAGAAGATGTGGTATATATATACAATGGAATGTTACTCAGCGATCAAAAAAGAATGAAATCTTAATATTTGCAACAACATGGCTGGACCTAGAGTATTATGCTAAGCAAAATAAATTAGAGAAAGACAAGTATCATATGATTTCAGTCATATGTGGAATTTAGGGAAAAAAGAGCAAAGGGATAAAAACAGAGAGGCGGGGCGCCTGGGTTGCTCAGTGGGTTAAAGCCTCTGCCTTTGGCTCGGGTCATGATCCCAGGCTCCTGGGATCAAGTCCCACATCGGGCTCTCTGCTCAGCAGGGAGCCTGCTTCCTCCTCTCTCTGACTGCCTCTCTGCCTACTTGTAATCTCGGTCTGTCAAATAAATAAATAAAATCTTAAAAAAAAACAAAACAAAACAGAAGGCAAAGGAAGAAACAGACTCTCAATTGTAACTGATGGTTATGAGGTTTAAATAGGTGATGGGGATTAAGGAGGGCACTTTTGTAATGAGCACCAGGTGCTGCATGGAAGTGTTGACTCACTACATTGTACACCTGAAACTAATATTGCACTGTATGTTAACTGGAATTTAAATAAAAACTTAAAATGTAAATCAGACCCTGTAAACCCTTCCCTGCCTCCACACCACCCAAGTTGCTTCTCATATCCCTTGGAATAAAGATACAAGGCCCTACATGGTCTGGCAATATCTCTCTTTCCATTCTCATTCTATAACATGATCCTTCTCTCTTTTGGTGGTGTTGTTGACGATACTCCATCAGCTGGTATGGCCTCCTCTGTATACCATCTTCTGTATGCTAAGAAATTTGTTACCGATCATCTTTCAGATTTAAGATCTTTATTTTTTTCAGGTAAATGTGACTTAAGCTAAATATGTCTCTTTAAAAACTTTCATTAACATTGTGTATTTCTGCCCTGTAGCACCAGTTATAATAGCAATTTTGTTTTCATAGTTATTTAAAAATCTGGTTTTCCCAAGGTTATAAACTCTCTGAAGGCTATTGGGTTGTGGCTTACCGCTGTATCACCAGTGCTGGACACAAAGTAGCCCTTCAATAAATATCAAAGAGACAAGGAGGAACTGAACTTCCTTGAATCTGTACATATTATACAGTTATTAAAATAGATAACATGCAACAGTATGAATCTCAGACATTACCTTGAGTGAAAGGAGTCTGACAGAATACATACTGTATGATTCCTGTTATAAGATGTCCAAAAACAGAAAAAAAACTAATTGCTTGTGTAGAAGTCAGAATCATGGCTATTACTGGGAAAGGGTTATTGATTAGAGAGGGTCGTGAGGGAACCATCTGGGCCTAGATAGGTTATATATTTTAATCTGGGTGGTGGTTACACAGATGTGTATACACAAATACATACACGATATACATACACATGTACATACTCATCACTTTTTTTAGTATACTTTTCTGTATATGTTTTACCATGACAAAAGGAAAAAAGGAAGACATTTTTGGGAAAAAAGGTAAAAAACTTAAGTATGGATGAGAAATATGCCTACAAGACCTTGGTAAATTAACTAGTTTGCAGAACATAATATATGCTATGATCTTGATTTGGTAAAACAATACACGCATACAGTTCTTCTGGTTTCTGCAAAAGACAGAAATCCTATCTAACTAACTTAAGCAAAAAATTCATTTACTGATACATACCTGGAAAGCTTACTTAAGCTTCAGTGAAACTCTCTAGACCATTCAAAGGCTAAAAATTATTAGGGAACCACTCAGAGGTCACAAGATCCCTGTTCTCAGAGTGCCAGAACCAAGCCTGATCAGGTTTCAAATGAGACTTTTCAAGCTCCATCAAAAAGTCTATGCTCCTACGTATCTGAAGAGATGTGCCATGTAGTTACAGAAGAAAAGCAACAGCAAGCTAGTTTCCAAGCATCAGTCCCTCATTCTAAAGACACACAGAGTCTCTGAATTGCAGGCATCTGAACTGCTTTTCAGACGGGCAACTCTATATAGCTCACTGCAAAGTGAACAGGAAGAATTCATTTACTGTTGGTATGGATTCTTACCAAAACTTCAGGAAATCCCATCTAGTCATATGCAAATCTTCTAATAACATAAAGCCTACAAGTGCTCAGTGCTTCAAAAGACAAAAGTATACCCCACAAGTCACATCGAGCCTTATGATTTCTTAAATTTACAAGTAATGTTTTATTAGAAGATTTCCTAGATCAAGTTGGAGATAGCCATACATCAATTTTACAACCATTGCTTTTTTCAAGTACTTAGAAGAATCGGGTATGTTTCATATATCCCACACATGAATGTTATTCTTTTAATCATTTGGTGACATGAGTATCTATGATGCAGGCTGAATCATGAAAAACTGATGATATTTAACCACTTGTGACCTATACAAAGGGCATTTTCATATGATTCAGACAAAAACCAAACCTTGTGAACAAAACAAATTCCCTGCCTCTGTGTGGATCTCACATGAGTGGCGGGGGGAGCATCGCAAAACAAATGAATATATGGTATATAAGATGGTGTTACATACCTCAAAGAAGAACATAAAAGGTTAAAAGGGATACAACAGAGTATAGGGCAATGGCTGTCACTTATTTTATATGAATGGTCAGGGGAAGCTTCATAGGTGTAACAACATTTGAACAAAATCCTAAGGAAAGAGAAAGCAAGCCTCTAGATTCTTCCACAATGAGAAAATATCATTAATGTGAAAATTTCTGCCAAGCTTATGCTAAAAAAAAAAAAAAAAAAAAAAAAAAAATGAGAACAAATAATTCTGCTAAAACCAATTGAGTGTTTAAACAATTATGGCCCTAATTAAACTCTCAGCCAATCTATACCAAACCAGTACATGCCATCAAAATTAAAACGGACATTTATAAGCTCTTATTCTACACGCAACACACATTTCATGGGAACATTTTTTTTCGTCCATGTTTTCAATCTAGTAAATATTCACATATAAGACTATACAAAAACATAAAGCAATTCTTACATTTTCTGAAGAACCTGGGCCATCACAACCCCATTCGTTAAATCTTCCACGGTCTGGCATGGTGCATCCACATTAAATGTCTGGATCTAGAGAAAAAAAGGGGGGGGGGATTCTCTGGTTAATTACACAGGAGATTTCTTAGGCTTCCTTTTGTGATTATCTCATTTTGATAGTCGGAATAAATTTTAAAAAGCAGTAGAGTTGGAAAATTTTTCCCTTATGGGAAATTTCCTGCAGGTTCTCATTGTCCCTTAGGTAGAAAAGAAATTGAGGTGGACACCTGGTGACAACCCAGCATCCCTTCTCCTCACAGATGACCAATCTAAGCAAGTCATGGTAACTCCATCTCCTCTACCAGTGACTAACTTAGGATTCACGGGGCAAAGACAATTTGAACCAAAGAATTGGAGGGAGATGCTTAAACTTGAGTTTCTAGGAAAGAAGAGCCAATCTCCCCTTGCTGTGGTCAAGTATGTTGCCTCAACTGCCACCAGCAGTCATCTTAGGGCTCTTAACAGAATATATTTTAGGAAGAGGCTGATGCACTCTACAACAGAGAAGAGGGATACAAAGAACTGGGTCCTTGAAAAAATTGAGCCACTGAATTGAAAAAAAAAAATGTGAAGCTTATTTTGTGAAAAAGACGTGCTTAAGGCTGGCCAGACACAGATTTCATTTATTCAAAACCAAAATATCTTTAAAGAGACATAGAATTCACATTCACTATAGTTGAGGTTAGATATTCAATTTTGATTCTAAATGTACTGTGAATTAGATCTAAGTTTGCAAAAAAACAAAAACTAACAACTTTGCACTGGTCAGCATGACATGGCTGAGAAATAGAAATTATTTCCATAAGATAATACAGCTGAGCCAACAATAATTATACCCAGTAGTGCAACCAAGATTTAGAAGGAAATAAATCACTAAGAAAAGACAGATGCGGCCATTCTCTCCCAGTTTATAGATTAGCAAAATGAAAGAGTATGACAGGATGTGCAAACAGCAACACAAAGATTAGAAGTGAGTGGGATGCAGTCTAGGAATGAAAAACAGCTTAGCATGGGATGGGGGGGTAGGAATAGGAAGAGATGGAAGAGGGAAAAGAGTATAATGGTGAAAGATGGGGCATTACTGTGCAAAACCTCATAAGCCATGTTAGGACTTTATTCTAAGAGCAATGAGGTAGGAGGGTGGCTAAGCAAAGGACTCCATGAGACTGAAGCCATGAGACTTGTGCTGTATAAAGATCATCCTGGCTGCAGTATGAAGAAAGGATTGGAGGGGAAGAGGCACAGAGACCTATTTTTGTAGGTTTATATTATTAGCACAGATGAGGTCAAACTAAGTAGAGACAATGGAAATATTGGGAATAACACTCAAATCTTCTCACATTTTTATTTATTGGGTTACATACTCAGAAGTGAAATTACTGGGGGTGCATGGGTGGCTCAGTTAATTAAGCATCTGCCTTTGGCTCAGGTCATGATCCAGGAGTCCTGGGATGGAGCCCCCACATCATGCTCCCTGCTCAGTAGGGAGTCTGCTTCTCCCTCTCCCTTTGTCCCCCCATCCTGCCCCACTGGTGTGCTCATGCTCTCTCTCTCAAATAGGTAAATAAAATAATTAAAAAAAAAAAGATTCTTTAGAAGTGAAGTTACTGGGTCAAAGTGTATGCACATTTTAAGATTTTTGATAAATACAAACTGTCCTTAATTCTTGTAATTGTTTTAGCCATTTTCTCACTTAGTAACAGTAGGTGAGTATCTAATTCTCTGTACTGTATCATTTATCAAATCTTTAAAAAAAAAAAAAAGCTACAGACAAATGCAGTCAGTAGCTTCTTTATATTACCTATATGGGAGAGTCTTATGAATAGTGAGGATTACAGTGGTGGAAACTAAAGGAATTATCTTAGAGATCACATAGCAAGTGGTTTTTATCTAGCTATCCATTTGGGAGAGTAATGAAAAGAAGCCATCCCCTGACACTAACTTCATATACAGCAGAGGTTCAATATAATTAGTAAAAGAATGAATGGAACAAATAAATATCTGCAGGAACGGATACTAAATTTTATTCTATATTATCTCCAGCTGCCTCCAATAGTAATGCGATAACAATGTAGTTTAATATGAGATAAGCACCTGCTTTCATTTTACAGTTGATAAATTCATCTCTCATAGGTTTAAGAGGAAAGAGAGACAGCAGTGAGAGCCACATCTCATTTATCTCTTAACCACTAATCTTAACACAATGTCTGACACAGAATAAGCCCCAAGTGAGCATGTTTTGAAAGTCCCAGCTTTGCTCTTAATTTGCTGTGTGAACCTGGATGTGCCACTTTACCTCTCTTAAGAGTTTTTAAATCTAGCAATTGGGAAAAATACCTTATGAAGAGGTGTTTTGCTAAAGGCATAAATGAGAAAATGAATGTAAACTAGGCATTTTGAAAAGTTTAAAGCAGTGGTTCCCAAACCTGGTGTACATCAGAATCATGTGGCAAGTTGCAGAAGGCTGGGAATTGACTTTTAACATGCTCATCAAATAATTCTTATGTGGTGGGACACTGGTTGGGCATTTGCAACCCTCTGATCCAAAGCAGATTAGAAAACGGTCTCTGACCAATTAAAAGGAAAAAAACTCGATAAAGGAGGTAATTCTTCAATAATGTAAGTAATTTAGTTCTAAAATTCTATTTCTCTCTTGGGACTTAGAAAAAACTTATCTTCATTCTGATTTTTAAAATGTGGCTTCTAAACAATTACTTTCTCTATATTGGCTCTTAAGGTAAATAAATACTTGATCATGAAGGCTACATGAAGTCCACCTGTGCTTGAAATAAAAGCAGGTGCCAAAGGAAATCTAGCTTTATGGAGTTTCCTTTTGGGATGATAAAAAGTGTTTACCACAAACCACTGAATTGTACATTTTAAAAGCATGTATTCTGGGGCTCCTGGGTGGCTCAGTCTGTTAGGCATCTGCCTTCAGTTCAGGTCATGATCCGGGGGTCCTGGGATCGAGTCCCCCATCGGGCTCCCTCATCAGGGAGGTTCCCACTCACCCTTCTTGTGCACCCCTGTGCTCTGCCAAATAAAGAGAATCTTAAAAACACTCGAAAGGAGGGGCGCCTGGGTGGCTCAGTGGGTTAAACCTCCGCCTTTGGCTGAGATCATGATCCCAGGGTCCTGGGATGGAGCCCCCCCCCATCGGACTCTCTGCTCAGTAGGGAGCCTGCTTCCCTTCCTCTCTCTCTGCCTACTTGGGATCTGTCAAATAAATAAATAAAATCTTTAAATAAATAAATGCATTAAAAAAAACACATTTAAAAAAACACTCTAAAGGAAAAATTTAAAAAAGAACGAATTTTATGGTATATGAATTATATTTTAATTTTTAAAATATCTATCATCTACTAGTCTCATCAACTGAGTTTACATCTACAGGATGTGTCTGGAGATCAGCACAATAAAATTTAAAGATAATTACACCTAAGTGCATTAAGGTGTGAAATTCTACCTAAAAGATCATAACCTCTTTCAATTCCAAGAAGCTCTATTAACATCTCCCAACCTCCATCTCACCCTCCCCCACAAAAGCATGAGAAAAGTAAAACAGGACATCACCTGGAATTAGTATCTCCACAGCAGTTCTCAACCAGGGGTGGTTTTGCTCCCTAAGAGACATTTTTGTTTTTAACAAATAGGTGTGTGCTACTGGTATCTAGTAGGCAAAGGCCAGGGTTGCTACTTTTAAATGTCCTACAGTGCACAGGGCCACCGAATTCTCCAACCCCATATGCCAATAATGCTAAAATAAAAAATCCCTGCTCTTAGAGCAGTGGTTCTCAAGGTATATGGTCCCCAGGCCACTAACAACAGCATCACCTGGAAACCTGTTAGAAATCAGAATCTAGGGCGCCTGGGTGGCTCCGTGCGTTAAAGCCTCTGCCTTTGGCTCGGGTCATGATCCCAGAATCCTGGGATGGAGCCCCATGTCGGGCTCTCAGCTTAGCGGGGAGCCTGCTTTCCCCCTCTAACTAAGTAATATGAAAATTACAAGGATATGCTAATGTTGCTGGGTTTCGCAGAAGAAACGGACTTAGCCTATGTGATGATTCTTTTCCCACTAAACTGGTAGCGTTCCAGATTCGTTCTGGTTTTTTAGTCTCTAAAACCTAGGAAAGAACAATCTTTTCACGTAAAGTTCAAGAAATTAGGCTTGACAGGTGCAATAGGCAGGGCAGATTTCTGTAACAGGTAAGAATACAATTTGACTCAGAGGGTGGGGAGAGAGGTAGAGTGGAAATTTTCAAGCACATCCTGCTGAACTTGCTTGCTGCATAAACTCTAATTTGGAATTTAACCTTAAGGTGTTTTCCACTGGTAGAAGGATACTCTGTCTTTTCCTAACTATTCCTCTTTCAACAAAAATTTGGAACATTTGATTCTTGGGCTAGGAGGCATTCTGATACAACAACTATTTATCCAGCATTTAAGGCAATTCGATGTCCACATAAGTGAATTCTGGACAGACAACTAATAGTCATCCCTTTTAAGTGCCTGAGTTTTCATTATTTTAACTATTTCTAGTGGAAGAATTTCTAAAGTGTACTATCTACCTCCTACCTGTACTAAATGCTAAGTACTAAGTGAAAATAAACTTTTGATATTCAAGATCCTAATTATGATCTTCAATAATTGAGCATGGAGGTTCTTGAATTCGGTAAGGCTGTCAGCTCAAAGAATGAATCACGCAGTACCGAGCTTTCAGTTTTTGGATCTTCTAGGTCACAGGCAGCTGCCTGTACCTTGCCAAGTGTTGCAGTTACCGCCTAATCTTCTTTGTGCACAGAACGCACATGACCAACCTGGCTGTAAGCTTATGTAGAGTAAATTAGTCCAAATGGGAGTCTTGTCTTTCCTTTTTTAAGTAGGTTCCATGCCAACTGTTGGGCTTGAACTCAGGACCTTGAGATTGAGAATCACAAGTTCTACTGACTCAGCCAGCCAAGCGTGCTAATGGGAGTCTTCTTTGGAGCGTATTGCATACTTTTCTCCCCCTTACACTTGGTTTCGGAATTGTTTGCAGCATAAGCTGGCCTCCAGATATGAGGGGAATTGCTAGGCTAAATGTACACTTTCAGCTACCTCATTTTCTGCATAAATATTTATTCTGCTTTTTACAATGACAAAGGGAAGCCAGAATTTAAACTCAACTTTATTTTGAAAGATTTCAATGCACAAGGTCTTAAAATGTTTCCAAATCTTAGAATTGTACATCTTTGCAGAAACTCTGCCCCTCCAGTTGTTACTGAAAATCTCTAATCTTATTTTTTCCATAAATTTTCCCTTTTGGGCCTTCCAGTGACAATTCAAAAATTCTTTTCTACAACACCATATTCCCTGGTTTTCAGGGAATCTGATAACCTAGGTTTTGTTTTCTTGACATTTACCAGATCCTAAATAGATGCTCTCATACTGTGTGTCTCCTCAAACTTCTCCAAGACTCTTCCTCTATATTTTTATTAGCAATTCTCACTCAAATAACTGCAATGATCACCATCTTTTTGCAGATGGCCTTCACATACACCTGTTTTCAAGACTTGTCTTTCTAGACTTTAAACCATGTAGCCCTACTTTAGATTCAGTTAGCTTCCTCATCTTTGCCCTCTTGCCTTTTTCTAGCATTGAGGGAGGAACTTACTTGTACAAACTCAAAAAAGCACACCTTAAGATCCCCATCTTCTGTTTACAACCTCTGCCAAATCTATTCCTGCCACAGGATCAAAGAATGTGGTCATTCTTTTATCTCTCCCATGCCTTGGCCACATTATGCAGCTTAACAGTTTCCCTCTTCTCTAAAATACAGTAATGAAACCCTTCTCGTCTGAAATTGGAGCCTACTATATTTGTAAACTATATGTTAACTATATATTCTAGCAAAAACCAAAAAACACCCTGAAATCCCAGTAATAGCCTAACGTAAAAGTTATAGAACATATCAAGTCCTAGCAGTGTATTATTTCAGAAGACATAATCTGATTCACAGAACACATTATGAAAATCTGAGTAGGGGCACATGGGCGGCTCAGTCAGTTAAGCATCTGCCTTCAGCTCAGATCATGATCTCAGGGTTTTTGGGCTCAAGTCCCATGCCCAGCTCAGCACGGAAGTCTGCTTCTCCCTCTCCCTCTGCCCCTGCTACTGCTCTCTCTCTCTCAAATAAATAAATAAAATCTTAAAAAAGAAAAAAAACCTCAGAGTATTTACACTACCTTTGTTACAACCTACCTAATGCAATGCTTCTTTAACCTTTCCATGAAGTGCCCCCACACAGGAAAGTGACACATAACATTTCAGAGACGTGAAACGACTCAGGTACCCCTGAACAGAATTTTTTTTGACATCTGTATCTTATCTTTAACATTAACCCTAATGCTGTAGTTACCTCAATAAATATATTAGTGTCCTATTCTAGAAATGACATTTAACATTTTTAGCAGTGAGTAAAACTCCTGGAGAAAGCACTATGTTTATCCCGTGGCTCTGCGGACCCCATACATACAAACACACAGGCCAAGAACGGACACCTAGGTTTGTGAAACACAGCCTGGGTTTTAGCTTCCAGATTTGTTTTTATAGTTTAATAAGTATCTCCACGCGGCTGACTTTTTCATCTCCGAAGCGTATCTCGCATCTTAAATACCGTCTCTGGATGCCCTTCCGCATTTTCCCTACCCTCCCTTCAAAGTACTTTTCTCCTCCAGGGCGCCCGGCTCGTCCCGCAAGGGGCTCCCCTCCAGTGCTATGTGAACGCTACAACAAAGGCGAGGAACGTCGTAACCAGGGGTCCCGAGTGCGTTTACCGGCTGCGCCCGGCGCAGAGACAGCCGAGCTCCGGCGTCCCCGGCAGCGCAAGGGAAGCGCCCGCGCCTCGTCAGCTGCAAACAACAACAACCCTAATCACAGTGCCGCCCGCGCCCCATCATTAGCCTCCACCGGGCCGGTTTCCACTCGCAGAGCAGCCAACACCTCAAGCCCGGCAAGTTTCCCTCGGACTCGGGGCCGAGTCCCCCCCCTCCCCGCCCCTCCCCGCCGCTCCCCGCCGCCCCCCGCACCGCCCGGCCGCTGGAGTCGACGCGGCCCGCATCGGCGGCCCCCGGCTCCGCCCGCCCCAGGCCCCGGATGTGACGGCACCGCCGCCCTCGGCGCTCGCCCCCCCGCCACAAGCGTGGGGGATCCCGGAAAGAAGGCCTGGGGGAGGGGGTCTTCCCCGACGCGCCAGTCACCACATACCCAAGTGAGAAGGCTCTCGCACAGCTCCACCCGCTCCACCGACTCCACGTTGAACATCTTCCCCAGCTGGGGCTTGGCAGCGCCTCCCCGCCTCACCAGAAACCGCTGCCCCTGGCTCTGGGGCTGCGTCCGAGGGTCGGGGCAGCTGACCTGGCCTCTGGCCCACCTTCTCCTCGGCCCCGGCCGCCGACTACCGCCCCGGCGCTGCCAGCGGCTATCGCACCGTCACCCCCGCCGCCCCTCCTTCTCCTTTCACTTGGGACCGCGCGTCCGCCGCGCGCGCCCCCGGCCACGCCCGCAGCCTCGCGTCCCCGCCTCCAGCCCCCACACCCCTCCTCCGGAAAGCGCCGGCCCTGGCCAGAGCCGCGGCCGACGAGCCACTGCGCACAATCGCTCTCGGGCCGGCCCGCCTCCCCGCCGCCGCCGCGGCGCGCGCCCCGACGCCGGCCCGCTGCGTGTCGCCGCGCGCACGCGCCCGGCCCTGGCGGCGGCGGCGGTGGCGGTAGCGGCGGCGGGTCCTCCCCGCCTGGCCGCTAGCAGCTTCACGGAAGCTCGGCAGTGCGCGTGCGCCGGTGTCCGCACTCCTAATTAAAAAAGACCTAGTGGTTGCCTGGGAGGGGTGGCGGGGTCCGTGCCCGGAAATAATCTCTAGTCTCAGTCACCGGGAATTGGCGAGGTATCCTCTGCGGTGGAGAGGTACGCGCCCCCTCCCCCTCCCAGCCGCCCGGGCCGCGGCTGGCCACGCCCACCCGGATCCGGGGGCCGGCGCTCCGGCGTGGGCGGGACTGCCCCGGGGTCGCCTTCGGGCTTCGGGGCGGGGGGAGTCGTCGCCTCGGACCCCGGGGCTCCGCCTTCCTTCAGGAAGCCCGGGGCTGAGCCCCAGAACCGCCCGGCTCCCGCCCGGAGTTCCGGAGGCGGTGGAAGGGCCGACGTGGCGGGTGTCTCGTGGTTCTGGGCGCTGGGCCGGGTGAGAAGAGCCAGCCGTCCCTTCCCGGGTCGCGGTGAGCGTCGACTCCCTGAAAACTTCGGCTGCGTAGTAGGGAGAGGGTGTGCGCCAGTTGTGAGTCCGCGAGGACCTCGGCCGTTCTAGGGCCTGCTTCTCCTCGTGCGGAGCTGGCAGGCGGCCTTCTTGTTGGATAGCTCCGCGGGTGGTCCGCCGCGAGCACCCACCTTTGTAGAGGCGTGGGTTTCTGCAGGGATATCAATATATTTTTATGCGATACGATCTATGCAGAAAAGTGCGTACAACGTACATGGTTAAAGAAAAATAATGATTAACACCCGGATAAAAGAACACTGCTCACCCCTCAGGAGTCCTACCCACACCTAGTGTTCCTTCCTGAGAACAGTTTCGTCCCTAGACTTGTATGATACTTTCCTGCTTTTCCTTCTAGCTTTACTGTCTGTATATGCATGCCTAAACAATGCAGTTTTACTTTGCTTGTTTTGAACTTTTATGAATGGGATCAGTGTATTTTGTGGCTTTGAATTTATAGTAAATTTGTATATATCTATAGGTAATTTTTATTGCTGCCTAGTATGATTATAACAGCGTAACCATTCTGTCAATGGACGTTTTGTTGTCCTAGTTTGGGGGTACTAAAAAGAGTGCTGTAAGCATTCTTATACCTGGATCCCAATGCAAATCTGTAGGGGGTTTCTTTAGGATACATGTCTTGGAGTCCTAGGAGAATCGTTGAGTCCTGGGGGTATACATAACTTTATCAGGTAATGACAAATTTATTTGGAATGCAGCAAACATAACTTCCTAGAGCACGTCTTTGGTTTGCAAGTTCTGGAGCCCCCCTTTTCCCATTAGGAGTAGGTTTTATCTTTGAGTATTCATAATCAGGTGAGTTTTTAATGATGCCTTACAGAGTCCCAGTTAACAATTCACATGTGATGAATTTATTTTGTAAATGTAAGAAAAATCTTACCTAGACTCTTCTCAATGGTGTTAAAAAAAAAAAAAAAGTATTCTTCCCTCCACCATGGGCAGAGAAATCTTTAGAAATGATAAATGTGTCCTACTGGCCTTGTTTCCTCAGTTGGTGCCTCTGGATCTCGGTCAAACCAGAGTTCCTACATTCCATGCTAGGTCGTTTCTGTAGAATCCCTAGCACTTTAATGACCTTTACCCTTGTTGGGCACATAAAATCAGTAAGTATATGTTACATTGACTGAAGCCTGACTCACCTGCAACTTGTCTTTGGAAGTGGAGAACAAGATGCTAACCTTTTCTGGAGGGACTGGTATAGTGAACACCTTCACTCCAGCTGCTTAGGTTTCAAGACTTTGACACAAATGACCTAAGCCTCCTTTTTCAGTCTTGACTGCTCACCCACAATACATTTATGTTTGATACTGCAGTGTTCTTGACATTTCATTTATGGCTCCAATTACCCTCAATGAAGGAAATTATATTAAAAGCTTCTTGTATGTAATTATCTATGGAAGTGATGTGATTATCATGTTTCTACATGAACTTGGGTAAAAAGACCGAGTTTATCCTTTGGAAGTTATGAAATTTCCTATATTTCCCTTATTCTTAATTATTTTTTTCTGAAAGTTTTGGAAAAGACCAAGGAGAGAGGTGAGTGCAACTTGTTTTAGCTGTCTCCTTACTCTGGTTAGTTGGAGACTAGTTCTCATCTATTATAGATGTGTGTCAGACTTATTTATTTTTATAGCTGCTTATCAGATTTAAATAAACACTATAGTGTCCTGCGTGGCAATGCTCCCAAATTTATGGAGTATTCCCAGGGAGTACATATTTATAGCTTTGATTAAAGAGAATTTGAGGGGCGCCTGGGTGGTTCAGTGGGTTAAGCCTCTTCCTTAGGCCCAGGTCAGGGCCTCAGGGTCCTGGGACAGAGTCCCACTTTCGGCTTTCTGCTCGGCGGGGAGCCTGCCCCCCGCAACCGCCTGCTGCTCTGCCTACTTGTCATCCCTCTCACTCTGTCAAATAAATAAATAAAACTTTAAAATTTTTGAATTTGAGATGCAACATAGTGCAGCTATGGGGAAGGCACGACTAAGCTTTATAATGGTTCTTGACAGTTGTTAATTATAGTAATCAAGGGTGCCTAGCTGGCTCAGATGGTTGGGCATGTGTCTCTTGATCTTGGGATTGTTAAGTTTGAGGTCCATATTGGGTGTAGAGATTACTTTAAAAATAAAATCTATAAAAATTAGTAATCAAAATACTATAGCTTGAATTTACTGAGAGCCTATATGATGAGCCCAGCAATATGCTAAATGCCTTAATTATCTCGTTATAAAGTCCATAAAACAAAAAGCTTTTTGGGGGGGTGTCAAACAAGTGGGCATTTGGGGGGTACCTGGCTGGCTCAGTAGGTAGGGCATGCGACTCTTGATCTCAGTGTTGTCAGTTCAGGCCAATGATGGTTGTGGAGATTACATAAAAGTGGGCATTTGGTGTGGTTAAAATTAATTTTATTTATTTTACATATGAGGAAGCTGAGATGCAAACTTTACGTAAGTACATAGTTGTCTGACTCCAGAGTTTACGCTTTTCTGCCATTAAGCTATTCCTCAATAAGACTTAGCTAGTTAATCAGCAGCAGACCAGGGGTGCCTGTGTGGCTCAGTCTTCAATCACCTGCTTTCGGCTCAGGTTATGATCCCAGGGTCCTGGAATCCACCCCCACATCAAGCTCCCTGCTTGGTGGGAATCCTGGTTCTCCCTTTCTCACTCCCCCAGCTTATATTCTCTCTGTCAAAGAAGTAAATAAAATCTTAAAAAATAAATAGCAAACCAAAGCTAGCAAGCATTTCTCTCAGGCTTCTATCAATTATACCACCCAGTTTCCAAGATCTATGGTGTTTTGTTTCTGTGAATCTCAAATAGTAAAAATGAAGTCCTGGTAACTCTTATTTTCTTATTTGTAGTGGGAGAAGGAACTTAAGAAACCTCAAGCCCAGTTTTGCAGACAATGAAAGGTCTTTAGAGATTAAGTGGGAACACAGTTGTGGTAGTAGAACTGGAACTAAAATCTGGACTGTTAATGTCCAGGCAGGCTTGAGTTGAAGTCCTGTGCTTTAGGGCAAAACCAGCCTCACAGTTCTGGTCTAGACAAGATCTAACCTTGTAATGCATGAGTTGGAGAACTGAAGTTCAGATCGAAAAGACTGACTTTTCAAGATTGAGATACTATGTAATCTCAAGTAGAAAATTTTCTTTTTATCGTTTATCCTCTGTAATCTCAGATCTGCATCACCCCATTTTTGAACTATTGAACTCCTATAGTTCCATTTTAAAACTATGATTATAAGAAAAACTACTAGTGGAAATTGAGCTATTGGAAGCCCCCAGCAAGGTCAGTCGTTAATAGTTCTCTTCTCCCAGTGAGAGCACTGGCTTTAGCTGGGGTTTCCATGTGGCAGGAAAACACAGCGGCCCACCCTGTTCCTCTCAGGAATTTATCAGTGGCCTTTTCCCCTCCTCCCCTCTCTCTGCCCAGACACTTTCTTTCCCCTCCCCTCTCTCTGCCCAGACACTTTCTTTGGGAATACCAGAATTTGTGGAAGTAAAAAATAACTCTTCCTTTCAATAACATCGGGAGCTTCTGCAGTAAAATGAGGCAAATAACATTATGTGGCTCTGCAATACTTAGAGCATCCCGGGATCTCTGAGCTCTTGGAACTGTGCTTGAAGCAATATCATAAGCAATACCTTATTTACAAAGAAGTTAAATATACAGCAGAGTGAAAAAACATAATTTGTGCAGTGGAATTTACTCACATTACCCTTGATTGTACTTGGAAGGACACTGAAACAAATGTAACCCATTTTAAAAAAATACAAAGGAGTCTGGGGAAGAAAAAACTATCCCTCTACCCTATTAGATTCTTGGCTGAGACTCCCCTGTAATAAAAGACATTAACAAGAAAAAAACAAGCTTAATTTATTAACTTCCTGTGTACATGGGCGGTACCTAGGAAAACTGAGTAAACTCCCAAATGGCCCAAGCAGTCATATTAAATACCACCTTCAGCTAAAGACAAAGGTGTTGGGGGTGGGGGGAGACACAGTTAAGGGAGGTTACCAGGAAAAGCACAGTAAACAAGGGTAAAGTTGTTACGCAGATTTAAGTCAGTGCTTTCTCTAAAACAGTCTGTAGGGATTTAGTCCTCTTCAGGTATTGAGAGGGAGATACCTTTACAAATGGAGATTTCCCTTGTAAATGTCTCTTTAACGGAAGCGTAACTTCTACTTGAGTTTCAGAACTTTTTCTTTGCTGTTTTTTTTTTTTTTTAAATCATGATTTGGGGGTGACAAATTCTGCTCCCCTTCAGTAGTAAACTGCCCAAAGTTAATACCATTGGGAAAAGTCGTTACAACTCTGAAGTAATTAGATTCAGAAGAGACTGGAAATCTTGACCCAAGGGGATAACATTTTGGTTATCTTGTACAGCTGCAAGTAGTTCTCACTGCCCATAGGATTTTTGACACAGCTGTCGAAAGCATCTATAATTTTAAAAGAGAAATCTGAGCTCCTGGCTGGCTTAGTCATTGGAGCCTAAAACTCTTGATCTTGGGGTTATGGGGTTGACCCCCACGTTGGGTTTAGGGATTACTTAAAAATAAGATCTTTAAAAAAAAAATAAAAAGGAAACCTGGTAAAATAAACACCTAAATGTATTGCATGACCCACCCCTAGATTATTTGAGGCTGTTTATTCAGTTTCAGTTGGCAGTTCGTTTGATTATTCTTTTGAATGGAAATAATGAAATTCGAGCTGCTTCTGAGTTTCCTGGTGTGTGGCCTTCATAATGGTCATTTGAAACCCATCATTAGAAAGTTCCTGATACATTGGCTATTACTATGTGTAAAGATGAATTTGGCTTTGATCTCTTTGTTTGCTTAGGTTTCTTCCATAAGGTACTTTCCTTATTTCAGCAGCCAATTCAGATTCTTTCAAGGGTGTTAGACTTTCGCCAAGTTTCCTTTTAACAGAGTCATTAGGTTGATGACAAACTTTTCAGTGCAATAAGTTACATAGATACAGAATTTTATTTTAGTTATAATAGTCATATATGTTTACGTTTTCCTTTAAGGGTCTTAAGAGACTAAATTTTTCTGTTTTGCAATATAAAAAATGTGAATTACCTGTGATACTTGGATTCTGATACTTGGGTTATTTCCCTTCATACCTATAGGAATTGGGTATTACATTTTTCTGAAGCTTAGTGTATGGGAAGGAGAGTTTCATATCCTCCCTTTTCTCTTCATAAGGAAATGCAGCCTCAGAGTGATTCCATATTCCAGGCAGTTCAAAGAATTCTCAACCATAAGCTGAGCTTAGTTCCAGGTGAGGCTAATAGTTTTTCAAGCCCCCAAATTTTCATTAATTCAACTAATCTTAGTATAGATACAAATGTCCTATAGCCTAAATGTCTTTTACTTTTCAAATTACTAACATTATAAGTAAGGTAAGTCACTCATATTTAAACATATATTTATTAGGTCCTACTGTGTGCAGAGCACTATGCTAGATAATACAGGAATATTTACAGAAGAAGAAAATACATTGCCTTCCCTATCCATCCATGGTACATTCTAGGACCCACTCAGTGCTGTGAGGGTGAAGAGGGATCTGATTTACTGGGAGAATTGATTTGGTATACAAGAATGAGAAGAGCAGTTGGCCATGAGGAATGTCTTTTTTTCCCTAAGATTAAAGGAACAGAGCTTGAAAAAGAAAGGGTGTTTTTAAATATTTTGTTTTAAAAAAATGTGAATAGATGATAAATTAGAGTAATTGTTTATCTTAAAGGAAATAAAATTTTGTACTCCTCAAAATAATGTGTCTGGCAAATTTTAAAGAACTCATTAACGGGAGAATCTCCACTAGAGTTGTACTTAGTGCAACTTTCCTTAAGTGGGCGCTTTAAAAAATTATATATATTAGAAGTCAGATACATTTGTGTGGTTTTGATTAGTATATGTTATTTTCACTGTGTCATTTGTAACTTTTTTTTTATCTTTTAGACTTGGAATGGCCAAATATCAAGGTGAAGTTCAAAGTTTGAAATTGGATGATGATTCAGTCATAGAAGGAGTAAGTGACCAAGTACTTGTGGCAGTTGTGGTCAGTTTCGCTTTGATTGCTACCCTGGTATATGCACTTTTCAGGTGAGACTAAAGGACAAAAGAATTGAAATAATGTATATTTGCAAGGGCCACTGCTTTCTGATTGCTTCTAGTAATTTTTAATACTTCATTTAAAAAACTGAGTAATAGAGCTCGGTAATTGTGATGTGGAAATGGAGCTTGGAGCCAACAGCCAAGAAAGAATTCTAGAGATGTCTTCAGTGCAAAAAGGAGTTTTTTTTTTTTTTTTTTAAGACTTTATTTATTTGACAGAGGGGGGGAGAGAGAGAGAGATCACAAGTAGGCAGAGAGGCAGGCAGAGAGAGAAGGGGATGCAGGCTCCCCGCTGAGCAGATAGATCAATATGGGGCTCCATCCTAGGACCCTGAGGTCATGACCTGAGTCAAAGGCAGGGGCCCAACCACTGAGCCACCCAGGCACCCCTAAAAAGGAGGTTTTATTAAAGAATGAAGACAGGATCTGTGGGCAGAAAGAGCTGCACTGGGGTTGACGGGTGACTGATTATGTATTTTCAGGTTGGGAGGGGGTTATAGGTAGCATCAGTCTCTAAAGAATTTATTTATTTATTTAGATTTATTTATTTTAGAGTATGGGGACAGGGGGACAGAGGGAGAAGGAGAGAAGCAGAATCCCTGCTGAGTACAGAGCCTTACACAGGCCTCAATCTCAGGAACCTGGGATCCTAACCTGAAGGGAAAAACCAAGAGTGGGATGTTTGACTGAGCCATCCAGGCACTCCTCTAAAGAATTTTGGAAGCAAGATTTCCAGGACCTTGAGGGGGCTAGCAATTGTTAGGAAAAGGTCATTTATTACTTTCTAATTAAATGTTAGTCGTGAGACCCTTCAGATGTGTATCAGTGGGCCATATGCATGGAGGATGATTGATAACATATATCTTGGGGTTGGAGGGGTAGAGATAAAGGAAGTTTCCAAAGGAATTAAGGTAGATTTACAGGACCCTTCGGGGTCAGGATAGTGTTAAGCTAAGATTGCCTTTTGCCCTTAGCAAGGGTTCAATATTGAGGCAGCTGAGTTCCTAGAGGAAGGTCACCCTCTTTCAAGGACTTGTCAATGAGCTGTGGGCAGTAAGGGCATTTAATTTTTTCTTTTGCTTTTGTTTTTCTCATCACTTGTATATTTGCTAATGTATTTTATTTTTCACTAGGCTCTAAATGCTACCGTATATTGTTCCTGTTGTTGGCTGTCTCATGAGATAAAATCACCTTAAATACCATATTTTGAAAAAAATATTAATATTTTCCATGGAAATATCACGGTTTTAAAATGTAATTTTCATAATTGAATCCTTCAATTTTTAGGTAATAGAGATAATAAGTACAATATATTTTAATTCTTGGGGCGCCTGGGTGGCTCAGTCGTTAAGTGCCTGCCTTCTGCTCAGGTGTCCCGTTTGGGCCACCTGCTCTCTAGGGAACCTGCTTCTCCCTCTCCTACTCCCCGTGCTTGTGTTCCCTCTCTGGCTGTGTCTCTCTCTGTCAAATAAATAAATAAAAATCTTTAAAAAAAGAGAAGTACTTTTAGTCTTTAAATAGAAAAACAGGCAAAGGAACAAAGTTGGACAGTATGGAGGGAATTAAGATTAAAGTTAAAATTACTGTTATAGAATCAGGAATTCTATAAACTTAGAATATAAATATAAATATAAACTCAGAGGCTTTAGGTGTTTATATATCATTAAGTAGACACTAGGATATAAACTAGAAATTTAAGTGTTAACACAAGGAGATAAATAAAATTTTATGTATAAGTATGTGTCATTGAAAACAAAGAAAAAAATATAAAATAGAAAAAATAATTTCTAAAATTACAAATCAGTGAGTTTGCTCTAAAATTATAGAAAAGATTTTTAAACATCAAGATTCTTAGATATGACACAAAATATGAGCGACGAAAGAAAAGAAATAGATAAATTAGACGTCATCAAAATTCCCAACTTGCATGCTTCAAAGGATATCATCAAAAAAATGAAAAGGCAGGGGCACCTGGGTGGCTTAGTTGATTAAGCATCAGCCTTGCACTCAGGTCATGATCTCAGGGCCTGGAATCAGGGCCTGGAATCAAGGTCTGCCTCAGGCTCCCTGCTTCTCCCTCTCCCCCATCCCTTCCCCCTGCTTGTGTTCCATGTCTGTCTACAGTCTCTCTGTCAAATAAATAAAATCTTAATAAAAAAGAATGAGATGCAGATATAACTTTATCATGTGGAAGTATCCATGATAAATTTTTGAGCGAGAACTGATGATTGAAAGACACATCACAAAACCAAAGGTCAAGTAAACTATACTGTTTAAAAATTATTTTTGATAAAATTAATTTTAAAATATTTTGCTTTTTCCTTATTTTTCTAATTTTCCTGCTATGGGTATTTATTACTTATATAATAAAAGTTTTCTCCACAGACTGGAAAGATATGAAGTGCAAACCAAAAGTTTGTTTGTTTTTTTTTAAATTTAATTTAATTTATTTATTTGACAGAGAGAGCACAAGTAGGGGGAGCAGCAGGCAGAGGGAGAGGGAGAAGCAGGCTCTTTGCTGAGCAGTGAGCCTGATGGGGGGCTTGATCTAAGAACCCTGGGATCATGACCTGAGTCGAAGACAGATGCTTAATGACTTAGCCACTCAGGTACCCCCAAACCAATAGTTTTATATTTAAAAAGGCAATTGTATGTTGTAGATGTGAAAAACGTAGCAGTATTATGCTGCATTAGTCAAATAACCAGATAAAGGACACATTTGGGTAATTTACAGTTTGGGTGAATAATTTTAAACTGGTAAACATTCAGGGGAAGTTATCAGAGTGGGTAAAGCTATAAAAACCATATAAAATGCTTGAAGGGACTGGGGATATCGAGCTTAATGGAAAAGTCTGTTGGACATAAGAGCTGTCTTTAAATATGATCAGGGCTTATTTTATTGAAGAATTAGATTTATTAGATTTATTTTATGTGGCTTCATGGACAGAACCAAGGCCAATAGATAAAGATAAATAATAGATTTTGGTTCTACCTTAGAAGTAACTTTTCAAAATATATAAGGTACTTCATATTATACTTAGAATCTTCAGTCTGTCATATGATTAGGTAAGAGGTCAGTTTAAGTTCCTATCCAGCTCTTCAGATTCAAATTCAGTTGGCAGTTGTAATCCTGTTACTTCTACTGAAGTTATCAATTAGTAATGAGTTGGGAGAGGGGAGCATGTGTAGTTTACAACTTAGATAAAACTTTTGTCTCTTTTCGGTAATTTCTTTGAGGTTTTGAGCCACTATAATTATTTTTTTGTATTGTGGTGAGATAAACACAGCATAAAATTTACCACTTCGGGAACACAGTTCATTGGCATTAAGTACATTGACAATGTTGTCTAGCCATCACTACTCCCTTGCCAGAACTTTATCATTCCAAACAGAAACTACCAGTTGAGGCGCCTGGGTGGGTCAGTGGGTTAAAAGCCTCTGCCTTCCGCTCAGGTCATGATCCCAGAGTCCTGGGATCAAGCCCCACATCTGGCTCTCTGCTCAGCGGGGAGCCAGCTTCCCCCTCTCTCTCTGCCTGCTGTTCTGCCTGGTTGTGATCTCTGTCAAATAGATAAATAAAATCTTAAAAAAAAAAAAAAAAGAAACTGTACCAGTTAAACAATAACTTCCCGTTCTCCTTCCTTCCAGCCCTTGGAAACCTCTGTTCTACCATTTATCTCAATGAATTAGTCAATTCTGGGTACCTCATAAAGTGGAATCATATAATATTTGTTCATTTGTGTCCGGCTTACTTCACTTAGCATAATGCTTTCAAGTTCCAGCTACATTCTGGCATGTATCAGACTAGCATTCCTTCTTATAGCTGAATAATACTCCATCGTATGTATATACCATATTTTGTTTATCCATTTGTTTTTGATGGACATTTGAATTGCTCCCATCTTTTGGCTGTTAGTTCGACAAATACTGATACAACATTGAACATTAGTGTACGAGTACCTGCTTTCAATTGAAATTGCTGGATCATATGGTAATTCTATTTTTAACTTTTTTTTTTTTTAAGATTTTATTTATTTATTTGACAGACAGAGATCACAAGTAGGCAGAGAGGCAGGCAGAGAGAGAGGGAGGAAGCAGGCTCCCCACTGAGCAGAGAGACCAATGCAGGGCTCGATCCCAGGACCCTGGGACCATGACCCGAGCTGAAGGCAGAGGCATTAACCCACTGGGCCACCCAGGTGCTCTTATTTTTAACTTTTTAAGGAAAGTTTTTCACATTAGCTGGCCCATTTTACATTCGCAGCATCAGCAGTGAACAGTGGTTCCAATTTTTCTGTATCTTTGTCAACACTTGCTACCTTCTATTTTTTAATAAATGTCATCCAAATGGGTGTAAAGTAGTATCTCATTGGAGGTTTTTTTTAAGATTTATTTATTATTTATTTGAGAGAGAGGAAGTGTGCGTGCATGCACATGTGCTAGTGGGTGGAAGAGGGGCAGAGAGAGGAGAACCCAGAAGCAGACTCCCCACTGAGTGCAGGCCAAATCCCAGGACCCCAGGATCATGACCTGAATGGAAATCAAGAGTCCACCGCCTAATAGGCTGAGCCACCCAGGTGCCCCTCTGGTTGGAGTTTTGATCTGCATTTCACTTACGATGAATGATGATCATTTCATATGCTTATTAACAATATATTTGTCTTCTTCGAAGGAGTCTATTCAGGGTCTTTGCCAATCTTTGAATTGGGGTGTTTGCTTTTTATTTTCAAGTTATGAGAGTTTTTGTTTGTTTGTTTTTGTAGACACCCAACATGGGGCTTGAACTCAAGACACTGAAATCAAAAGTCTCATGCTCTACCAACTGAGCCAGCCAGGTGTCCCTTTGAGAGTTTTTTCCCATTGAAGTATAGTTGACACAAAAGTTATGAGAATTCTTTATATATTCTGGTATTACTCACTTATCAACAATATGATTTCTAGATGTTTTCTTCTATTCTGTGAGTTGTCTTTTTACTTTCTTTATAGTG